CATGACCACTCTTTGCTTCTTTAGGTACAAGTTTCATCCAATAATCCTATTAAAAAATAGAATTTTTTTCTTATATTTTTGGAACTAACAAAAATTAGTCTAACTTTGACCTAATATCTAACATATTAACGCTTATGCTTAGGTTTTGGCTCGGATTCGGTATTGGTGGTGACTACCCTCTTTCCGCCACTATCATGTCTGAATATGCAAACAAGAAGACTCGTGGTGCTTTTATCGCGGCCGTGTTCGCCATGCAAGGTGTTGGTATCTTAGCCGGAGGTTTCGTGGCACTTGCCGTATCTTCCATATTTGACAAGAAGTTCCCAGCACCAATCTATTCAGTCGACAGGGCTCTCTCAACGCCTCCACAGGCTGATTACATTTGGAGAATCATTGTCATGTTTGGTGCCCTACCAGCAGCCTTGACTTACTACTGGCGTATGAAGATGCCAGAAACTGCTCGTTACACTGCTTTGGTGGCTAAGAACATCAAACAAGCCACACAAGACATGTCCAAGGTCTTACAAGTGGAGCTTGAGATGGAGGAAAGGGCAGAGAACATCGTTCAAGACCCGAGACTTAACTATGGATTGCTCTCCAAGGAATTCGCCAGACGCCACGGTCTTCCCCTCCTCGGATGTACCTCTACTTGGTTCTTGCTTGACATTGCTTTCTACAGCCAAAACTTGTTCCAAAAGGATATCTTTTCGGCTATCGGATGGATCCCAAAGGCAGCAACCATGAACGGAATCCACGAGGTTTTCATGATCGCTAGGGCACAAACCCTCATCGCACTTTGCAGTACTGTCCCCGGTTACTGGTTCACGGTCGCATTTATTGACATCATGGGAAGGTTTGCCATCCAGCTCATGGGATTCTTCATGATGACCGTCTTTATGTTCGCAATTGCCTTCCCCTACAACCACTGGATCAAACCGGACAACCGTATCGGATTCGTGGTCATGTACTCGCTAACTTTCTTCTTTGCTAACTTTGGACCAAACGCAACCACTTTCATTGTCCCGGCTGAGATCTTTCCGGCCAGGCTAAGGTCCACATGCCACGGAATATCAGCCGCTACAGGTAAGGCTGGAGCCATCGTGGGAGCCTTCGGGTTCCTATATGCGGCTCAACCTCAGGATAAGACTAAGACAGACGCAGGATACCCACCAGGCATTGGAGTCAAGAACTCATTGATCATGCTTGGTGTCATTAACTTTATCGGTATGCTTTTCACCTTCCTTGTTCCCGAGCCAAAGGGCAAGTCCCTCGAGGAACTCTCCGGTGAGACTGAGGTTGAGAAATGATTAAACTGTTACATTTTCAATTTTCAATTTTCAATTTTTTGTTTTTGGTTTTTGTTATTCTTCGTTTACATTTCTTTTGCGATGCGTGATGTTATTTTTGGAATGGTGCACGTCTACTTTTGTTTTCTGTGTGACCATTGATGTATTCTCAAAGAACCGCTAAGAAGTAAATTAAACTCTTATGTTCACATTCCTTGCCTCTTAACAGCGCTTATGTACTATTAACGAATGATTATATCTATTGTGAAGATGAGAACTTGATGTGTTTTACAAGTCCAAACATGGGTTAACCAAAGAGGAACTATAGTTAAATCTATCTTGACTATAGTTGGATCAAGCCTTTGGGTTTATTCATTTTGTCATCTTGTGAATTAGGTTTGTGGCAATGTCTCCTCTATATAGGAGATTGTAAACGTGAGAGAGAAAGAGTGAGCCGCACCAAATACATAGAAGGGTGAGAGAAACATGTAAAAGCATAAGCTTTGGGGTGGGTTTCTCAAGTGATACATAGAGAGATACTAAGAGTGAGTTCATGAGTGTTTCACAAGATTGAATCACTTGTATCTCTTGTAATATGTTCAT